AGGGAGGCGGGAGGAAGGCGCTGCGAGGCAGCCGCCCGGGCGGACTTTACGTGATTAGCTGAGCTTTGTAAAAGTGCAGGCGACTCCCACCACACGAAGGTTTTTAATTTGTTACCCCTGGAGGGCGGTGACATCCGCACAGGTCAGAGGGGGCCCCCGAAACCTGTTTTCCCCTGGTTGGGATGGCTGCCCCGCCCACAGAAAGCAAGGAGCGAGTTCAGACCTCGAACAAAGATTTTTTTTTAGTGAGTGAAAGCAACAAAGATCTTAAGGCAAAGTTTTTATTGGTTTGGAGTTGGTTTAAAACCGCTTTGTGGCCTTCGCATCAGGTCAGGCACCGGGGAAGGGGCGCGGGAGGTGAGGGAGGCCGCTGCCATCACGAGGAGGCCAACGTCTCCAGCCCTACAGGAGCAAATCCTCCTCCGTTAGCTTTTGCTTCAGCTCGCCGCCTCGCGGGCCCTCTAGGAAGACAGGCAGCTTTGACTCAGAGAAGCCATCGCCGTCGCTGAGCCCCGACCCGGAGGCTGGCTCCGCTTCCACCACAGCGTCAGACCCGGAGCCGGACTCCTCATCTGAGAGCGGAAATATGTCATCCAGCTCCTGGTATCTCTTCATCCTGAAATGCAGAATAGCAGCTAGTTTGTTCCAAATTTATTATCTCTTAAGTGAACACACCGAAGCCTCACGTTCCCATGGGTGAGCCACACTGTGACAGGACTGTCGAGATAGGAAAACTGGACATTTTTGGGTGCTAGCATTAATGATGAATATGCAGCAAATGAACTTACAGGGATGGGTCTGCCATGGGAGGAAGGATCCTGTTGGCTCCACCGGTGGGCATGTAAAACCAGGGCCCCTTCTCTTCAATGCAGTTAGCAGACCAGGCGTCAGGGCGGCATCTCACTCTCTTGTACCTTGCCTTCTGCATCGGAGCACCTGATCGAATCAGCCATGTGTTATTCACCGGGACCAGAACGTTATTCACCGGGACCTATTAACTTTATGAGCACCTAGTAAAGCTTAAAGGAGCAGAAGAAAGTAATTTGTGTGGCCTTGATTGCTCAACTGCCAAAAACTAAATTAACCCTGAAGACTTTTTTTAAATAGCTACTGATATCCTGAGTGGCATCCTTGCTATCAGAGACATTGGGTGCATCTTGCACACAGCATTGGGAAGTCCACGGGAAGTAGAAATTGAAACCCCGTGGGAAACCACTGCCTCACGCCGACGTCACAGCAGCGCTCATCCCCAGCTTGGGGCATGGCACATCCATGAGGGACCTGCGGGCTCGGCCACCTGCAGCTCTCCCCGAAGCTGGTGAAGGTATTTCAAAATCTCCTGGGGACAAGCCACTCCAGCAGAGAGCTGGCTCCTGCGCCCTCCCTTTCTCTGTTGGCTCCAGCGAGGGTCAGAGCTGACTCTGCTTTGGCTTTGCATGCCTCAGCTTAGCCCCTTCGAGTTCAGTGGGATGAGTTTTGGTGGGGAGGTCGGAAACTCAAGGCGTGCCGAGATCCACCTGCCGCGGGAGCAGATTTGGGGATTACGCAGGCGCTTGAAGTGCGTTGCTGGAGGAGAGACAGCACGGCCCAGGGTTACATAAACCCATGGTTTCAGTTCTGGTGCCCCCCAGGTGCTGTCGGGGCTGTCACTGAAAAGCAGGTCTTCAAAAAATACCAAAAGGAGAAAATAACAATCACATAGTAAAGATAAAAACAGTGGCATTTCATCCTTCCTCTTGGTCTCATGTCATTAATTTCTTCTGAAGCCTCCTGGCACATTCTCCCCCTGTTGGCACTTTATCTATTTTTTCTTGGTTTCTTGGGAATATCTTTCTGTAATTACACTTCTCCATTGCCTTATATATTTCAATAATGTACTAGATGACTTTCAGCTACCTCCTACACTCTTCTGTAAGAGAAAGAAGATCTCATGGGTATAATTTCCTGCTTCTTTTACAGCGTATTCCTTTTTCGTAGTTATTTTCTTCTCTTAGAATATTATTAAGAAGGTTAATATTAATAATAACAGTGGCAACAAAATAAACAACTGTAGCTGAATAATTTGCAAATAAACAACGTACAAAAAGCAGGCCATAATCTCTCAAAGATCAGCCTCCAAATGGTAGATACGTAATGAAAGCCTATCACTATCACAGCCTTTGTTTGGCGACAAATTATATTCTACATGCTTGAAAAGCGCTCCTCTCTCACAAGAAACAAATCCACAGGGTACATCTCATCATGAATCAACATTTCCTTTTAGTTTTTTTAGTGCTGCGTGTTGCAATTTCTCTGTACCGAATAAACCGTTTAATTTCCTCATACTTAAAACTAGTTTCCTTTCCTGCACCCCCAAGAAAGTAGACCATAGTAGTTATGACATGGGAACTGTTACATACTTTGTCTGTAACTACATCACTGAATAACAGTACATAACCAGACCACTATGAAAGGGACGATTAAAAAAAAAAAAATATATGGATTGAAAGTATACACACATACAGCAACTTATTTTATGAAGTCTTTTTCTCATAGGGGCTGGGAAAAGGACACAGAAATGTTCCACTAGCAAAAAGCACCTTTTCTTACCATTCCCCCTCCAGAAAACAAAATGTTAGCAAAACAGGTTTTCTGAGTAGACCTCATTACCCCTAGAAGAAGGTCAGTTTGAAAAATTCAGAGGCTGCCTACTTGGCCTACACTGCGTAGCCCAGAAAGAGGATTACCGAGAGAACAACCGCCCCGTTTTACCTTGCACTGTGTATCCCACAAAGAGGATTAAACAAATAGCCAGGAAAATCCTCCCGTTACATCTGATGAGGAGCTGCATATTGGCCGGCATCCCCCTGCTCGCCACCAGCCTTCACCACGGCTTCACACTTCAGAAATAGAACAGGGCGAGGAGATCAACTTTTAGAAAAGGTTTCCAAAACCTCAAACCCAACCCATAACCTGCGTCACCGCTTCCTGATTGACAGGAGTGAGACATCTACAGAGAAGCCCAGTGCTCTGCCCTCCAGGCCTTCATCACTCCAAAAAAAATAATCCACGCTACCTTCGTTTCCAGTTTTGCCCGAGAAGAAAAGCAAAGCTGGGACCAACCAGCTCGACTGAAGGTGTGTGCTGCTGGCAGCTTGTGGTCCAGGCGTGCACCCTGCCCAGCGCCTGCCCGGTGCTCAGCGGGCTCCGGGGCGTTTGCTGTTTCATCTGGAGAGAAAAAGCACCACTTTGTGTCCCCTGATTTTCAGCCAACTGCGTTTTGGCATTGATACCGGCAGCAATTTTCCCTGCCTTGAGCCCATGGCCATTGCAAGGGTTAGGAGCTGCCTGTTTGCAGTCAGTGCAAGTTTCACCAACTGGGAAATAATCTTTTTCCACAAAAGTAAATTATCTCAAGAATCTCATGCCTTTCTTTTTTGGAAAACAGGATCTTAGACATTCACAGTGCAGTGAAAAAAAATATTAATTTAGAGAGTAGGTCCTGGTAGAAATGTGTCGGCTCCTTTCTGAAAGGGCACAGCGGATTTGCTCGACCCCAACGGTTGATCTGGAGCAGCCGGGTCATCACTCTGCAGTGTGAGCATCCCGGGGAGCATGGTAAAGGGTTTGGACAGCATGTGGCTCTGCGAGGAGCCCAGCTGGGAAAGCCATGAAAGCCCTTATATAGATACATGGAAGCTGCCTTTCAGCTAGCTCGTACCTTTCGCTTGCCTTTTAGTTGGGATTAAACCAGTTCACTTAAGAATAAATTACATACAACAAGGTTATCTAAGCGATGGGGGTTTTTCTTAGTCATAGCATTAGCTGCTGGATTAACTGAGGCACTGACATGTGGGCCTAGCATGCTGCCAGCACCTTCGACGATGCTGTGGCTGATAGTGTAAGTTGTCTGTGGTAAATCTATTTTTATGCGGTGGAAAGTCCACAGAGGTCCCCGGTGGGAATCTGGGCTGTGCGGCGACTTTCCCCAGTGCACGGCACTCCACCAAAACCCCCAAGTGGTGGAGGAAAACTCTTCAGCAACTCCCCTTTCCAGGCTGGGATTTACCACCGGACCGAGGGGTTGAGCTGCGCATTCAGCATCAATGCAATTTATTATGAACCATTGCACATGGGTTTTTTTTTCTGGCACGGGAAAAACAGGAGAGACAAACCAAGCAGGTGTGGAAGGACTCGCATGCAGCGGTTATTCCTACCAGCCTGTTTTCTACTTTGTATTTTTAGCATCAACTCTTTTTTTTTTTTTTTTTTTTAAGGTGGTGCTCAGCATCAATAGGAAGCCAAGCGAACGCCTGCGGGGAGGCGCTCAGCCTCCGCCTGCTGAAGGCTGCGGAAGCCGTTCCTGCAATAACACCTCTCATTTTCCGCTGGTCACAGGCATGCGCCGACCCCTTCCACACCCCTCCAGCGTGAGCAAACAACTCCCCACATGGGGGAAAGCACCCCTCCACCGGCTATTTCTGCCCTTCGCACCAGCCCGCGGCTTTTTCCACCCCGGCACTGGAAGCCCTGTGGGATGCGGCTGGAGCAGTGCCCACCAGCAGGCACGGTCACAGGGGGCCAGGGATCCTGCGGGAGCAGGGGGAGCCATGGGGGGTAGGTGGGAGCTGCCGGGGGTAGGTGGGAGCTGCAAAACTCCCGTATCTGGAAGGGGATCTCGCAGAGCCGAGTTATCTGTCTCGTACCATCAGCTGACGGGGGAACTTGTAGCACTGGCAGTTTTGCCACACGGTTTTGTTATTTTCTTGTGTGTTAGTGGCGCGCCTCAGGAAATGAGATTGCTTTACAATTGGTAACCATGGGAAGACCGAAGCAGATTTTTCACTCTCCCGTCTCATGTACACCTGCGTAATGGGGGCCAGAAACCCACGGGTCTCCTGTCCTGCTGCGCTCCGCCAGTGCCTGCACCCCACCGCGCTTTGCAAGCAAAAAGCTTTCCACCTTCCTACAAATGTGTAAGTGATACTGGAGACCTGGATCTGAAGCCACCTGGGATGTGTAAGTCTTAAGAGTAAAGCATGCCCTTTTGTGGAGCGTCATGGGATGCCCAAGGAATGCTGTGCAACTATTCACACTTTCTGTAAGCCACTCAGTGCATAAAATGCAAAAAATCAGCACACATAAAAAAAAAAAATCTCATCTTCAGCTAGAGGCCACAAGTTGCAGAAAGTTAATACACTTTTTCTTTTTTTTAAACAGAAAACAGCATACAAGCTATACTATATTGGAACGCTAACCTTGAAACGTGCCGCTGCATGACTATCAGAGTTTGAGAGAAAGAGGGTTTTTTTAAGAAAAATATTTTAAATCACAGAGGAGAAGACAGTCACTGTACCTAGGTCAGCTACCTCAAGATTTACCTCCCGTAAAATGCAAGGAAGGTTCATAGGATAATATTCCTCTTGCATAGATCCTGTGCGTATAGATTGGAAGATTAAATGCCTCAACACTAAGCCTATAAAAAGAAGAAAATAAATGAGGAGCAGGTATTTGAGAACGCAGCTGGCTCCTGAAGTGTTTCTTACAACTACCGCACTGAAGCACTGCCGTTATTTTCAAATCATATGCAAAGCAGATTAAGAATTCTGCATTTTTCTAAGGCATTGATTTGGGGAGCAGTGGGCTGGTGGAAGGAGGGTGCTGCTTCAGCACTGTGCACCCAGCCCCTCAACCAGACACCCGGGATTCTTCATTATGTGCCTGAAAAATCTGGGAGTAGCCCCTAAGCTATAATAAACACTTCAAAATCTGAAGTGATTAACTGCTCCTTAGTCGTAACTCTTGGGGCTGTTTTATCTCCCAATTGGCTTCAGGAGTAACGAGTAACTTAGTAACATCACTAAACGGGGACCACACCGCAGGAGTGCTTGGTATGAGGACATCCATCCTGCCTTTGAGGGAAGGGGATGTAGGGCAAAAAAAATTCCCAGCGGGCCCATTTCAGTAACCCGGAGGAGTACCATGGGGGTATTTCGGCCAGTTCCTCAGTGGACACCAACCCCTGCCCTACTCTAGCCCAGATAAGGGCTGCCAGCGCAGCTCTGTCCAGAGGAGCAGTCCGATGTAACTGCGTTGGGCCACGGTTTGCTTTGCAATCCGTATTTCCAACAAGCAGCCAGCCAGCGGATGGGGTCCCATGGGTGCATGGGCACCCACAGTCCCAGCGCTTATCAGTGAGGCATGCAGGCGAGGTGATACCCGTCCAGACGGGGGGTCCCGATAAAGAAGTTTCTCATTCATAACTGCTCGGAAATCAGATAAACCTTAACTGCTGCAGGGTCACTCTGCTCTCAGGGGTCAGGTTTTCCCCTGCCTCAGCCGGCAGGAGCTCAATCCTGGCTTTAGGGGGGATTCAGGCTGACCCCTGCACCCCTTGAATGCACCTCCCCAGCGGAGCAGCAAAGCCGGCAGCCAGCTAGAGCAGCCAGGGGTCCCAAAGCGCTGGGCCCTGCCTGCGATGCTCAGTTCTTTATTTGCTCCGCTGGGAAAGTGGAAATAGGTATTTTGTACAGGTCACTGCTCTGGAGAGCAGCCAGTACAGGAAAGGCTACATCTGTTATGAGCAGAGCTGGAATAGGGCATAAAGAGAGAATTAGGGCAACAGTTGAGAAAAAACAGAGGTCATACAGTGAGCAAAGGGGAAGGGGAGAGTGTCTGAATGGCAGCTGGACTGAACACGATGAGCATTTTTTTGCCTATCTTGTCCTTTGGGAAGGCAGAACAGGTTTCTTCCCCAACACTCGCTGCCGAGGTGAAACGAGATCTGTTGGACCTGGACATCCAACAGGCCCCGAGCACATTGATCTGTCTCAGAGATAACCCATGAGCTGCCCTGTTAAACACCCCAAAATCACCCCAACCCACCCAGCGGCGAGCTCCCCCTAGGCAGGCAGCCCAGCTAGATGTAAGGATGCTTTCTGTCACCAGCTCATGTTTGACCAACCAACCTTTGGGGACTGAAAAGCAAAAACATGCCCTGCCTCAAAATAGCAAAGAGCTGGCAACCCAGGGAGGAAGGTTTGGGTCAACCTGGGGGAATTCTAAATCCAGCCCTGAGCAAAGATGAATTCTTAACCAGGGTTGCATCTGAGCTCAGCACCTGGCCCCTGTGTTTGCCTGTGTACCGGGAGCATCATGGCACACACAGCAGGGCAGTACGTGGCATCCCTCGGCCTCTCATGCCGCCGCCTCTTGCCTCTGAGGGCAGTATCAGGACCTGGCCCATGAAGATAAGATTCAGATCTTGCAAGAAAGCATTAACACTCACGCGCATCGCATAGAAATCTGACATTCACTGCCATCTAGATCACACAGAAGAGCAACTCCTCCTTTTTCCCATGATGAAGGTCAACAAGCACATGGGGAGAAATCTTTGCTGGAAAGCCACAGCTGTGTCGAGATCGAACGCAGCCACTGACTGACAGGAAGCTGCCAACGGCCTTTCCCCATCAGTGATCTTGCTTCTACCAAAAACGTTAACCAAGCAACTGTCCTGTCCTTCAGGAGGAAAAAAGCAGCTTTCCTTTGTGCTGGGAGGTGCGATGCTTTCTGCTTCCAAGTGCTGAAGCCTGGTGCAGCAGGAGGTTTTGGCTGGCAAATTCAGGACTATAGTTTAAAAGCAACAACTCATTAAGACATGACACAGCAGCTGAGCTCCGGTTTCTGATGAGGGAGGCAATTTCAGTGGCCATCCGTCCTTCTTTAAAACCTCACCCCAGAGCAGCACCAGGCCCACAGTGGAAGCAATTTTCAAAATTTCAAGATGAGCACATCCCTTTAGAAGACACAATTTGCATTAATTAGGAAAAAAAGCATTTTTTGCCTTTTCCTACTTCAAAGAGACAGGCTCTATAATAGCTCTATTTTTTCATCTTTTCTAGTGCAG